CCGACCACGGAGCCAATTTTCCAGCCAGTGGATCGTGGTGGACCCAAGGTGACAATTGGCCAGTTTCACCAAGAGGTGATCATGGGATACCAGATCGAAGGCTTTTTTTGAAGTCAATATATATGACATCAATCTCTTCTCCCTTGTCCAGGTGATAGGTCACCTGGTTGTAGAAGGAAATGAGATTGGTCAAGCAAGACCTACCCGCGACAAACCCGTGCTGGCTATCCCTCAGGATGTTGGCATTGGCCAGTCCATTAAGGATGGCCTCTTTAATAAACTTTTCTAAGATCTTCCCTGGGATAGAAGTCAGGCTGATGGGCCTATAGTTTGCTGGATCCACTTTCTTCCCTTTCTTGAAGATAGGTACCACAATCAATTAATTAATTAATTAAAACAACTCATTCCATTTTGTATGCCTTGCAAGAGCAGAAAACAATGGCATTGTACTCCTGCCATGCCCAAGCACTTTGCTAAGAAATGTGAGATCAGTGCACAGGCACACACAGCTCAACTTGCATCAAAGAGGCAATTTTGGTAAGGAAAGATTTTTAAAAACCTACTTTTTTTTGTCCTATTTCACTTTAAAATTCCAGTGCAAACGACGCACAAATGAAAAATCTTACCCCTGCACTGTTTGGAATGCAAACACTGCAGTAGAGATAAGTGGGAAATGAAACTGAGTAGACAAGTGGAATTTCTATTGATCAAACTGAAAGAAAGACAAAAGCCACCCAGGACAAGGAAAGTTGGATTGCCAAATTTCTGCAGTAAGCTAGGGTGCTGTGAATAGCACAGGTAAAGAAGGTTGGTTAAAAACATACTATTTTGAACTTGACTGCATCTCTTAAGCCATTCTTGTGACAAATACTGCAGTCAATTGCTGCCTGCTGGAGAGTGAGCTAAACCTCAGCTGCTACAGTCATAATTTTTTTTTTTTTTTTTTTAAAGAGGTACATAAAGCACTGACTTCATACCACAGAACCAATTGTGTGCACGTGTGGGAGGGAGAACTGGGGGGGAAATTATAAATAGAAGTGGAGTCCACCCATTATTGGGAAAAGTAGCATCTCCCCATAAGTTACAACTTGCTGTGTAAGGCCATCTCTCATTGCTCCCACTGAACTGAAATTGAATCTGAGCACAGCGAGTATGTTTCCTATAGGGAACCCCACCTAGAACAAACCTCAGCATGTACTGACAAGTTCCTACCTTCTCCACCTTTGTGGGTGGACTCCTAACTTATATACTCTAGCCCACTGTTTAAATACCTGCCATGCCCTCTCCCCAAGCACCAGGCAAGGAAACCACACTGCATTCACTCATGCTTTTAAAAAGATGTTTAGCAAATACATTGTTCTCCCACACATGAAGATGCCTATGGGATGGGGACTATAACACATGCTCAGAGATCTGTTGGGATAAAACAGCCACATGACTCTGATGGCGGGAAGTCAGGAAGAGATGTTTGAACCATTTAGAAAGCGATGACCCAGCCTTCCACTGCTCAGCACTGCACTACTGCTGATAAGGTCAGCAGGGATCCCAACTCCAAAGCCAAAACATTTCCTGGCTAGGTTTTTTTCTCCCCCACTGACCACATTTTTCAAACATTAGGAGAGTTTGTGAGGTCAGGGGGCATATGAAAAGCCCTTATGCTGCTTGGTGGAAAGGGGAGCAGAATGAAGGGAGGGGAAAGTATTCCTGACATTTTTTCGTTTTAAAGTCATGTAAAGTTCTAGGGAGTGGTGGCTAACAAGCTAGAGCAGGAACAAGTCCTTGTTATTTATTCAAAGTTTCAAGGGCTGTAAACTAAAGGGCAAACTTGTGGCCCCTTACAGTGCTCCCCCACCCCACCCCATGGCAGCACCTTCTGACACAATGGTCCAAGTAGGCTACCTCTTTAAAACCAGAAGCAATGTAGTCCCATATGCATGGCTCCATGGGTGAGCTAACTGGCCCCATCACTCAGCAGTGCTATTTAACTTGCCCTTGTACTACTTTCTGTTTGGGAAGCAGCCCATCCAGAGTAGCACAATGTGAATGAGGGCTGCTACTCGGGATGGAAAATGTACTATGTAAACCTAGCCAAAGCCACTTGAAGCCCTCAAGAGCAGGGCTTTGGAGACGTCAAGGCTCAATCCTAGCACACACTGGTGTCAAATGAATGCGGCTAACCTCCAGTTAGCATAGGCTTGGTTAAAATGCAGATCAGAGGATCCAAGTGGTACTATTAGTCTGCTTGCTTTTGGCCTTGTTGAGAGCTGACCACACACAGAAATTCTCTCAGATTTAACCCCTGAAGCTGTCCCTACACTAGCCCAACCCTGGAAGAACTGCTAATGGTTTTTAGTGAAAACACAGCCCCAGACTTCTAGACACAAAAAATACCAAGTGGATTACGGAGTGATATTGGGACTCTGGAGTGGAATCCTGCAGATTTACAATCACGCTGCTATTTCAGCAGGGTTTTGTAAGGGACAGAAGGCATCCCCAGAAACCTGTAAAAAACAGCAGATTTCTTTTTTTACCATTGCTAGCAATACCCAATAACTTGTTATTGGGCAGCTAAGTAACAGAGGGCACCACTTCATCTTAACAATGCTGAACACTGTTGGATAGTGTAGATTACCCATTCTGGAACTTCAGTCAAGCCCAGGCTTGGCACTCAGGGGGAATCCTATCCTGTCCTAGATGCAAGGGGGATGCTGGAAGAAGAGCCTATATATAAACCATGTCTGCACTCAGTGAGCAAGTAGTTCTTGGCTCCTGCATTCTGTGCAGCAGAAGAGCTTGCGAGGCCTGTGAGAAGCTGCAACAAGCCGGTGTGAGAAGGAGAAAGGCACAAGTAAATAGCAGCTCTGCAGAGACTGCTGTCAAACAACTGGCTGGGGGAAAGAAGAAGAGGGAAGAGCTCAACTTCATTACATTACTTGAGCCCCTAATGCAGATGGAATGGGGAGGCCAGAACTGCACCAACCCCAGTTGCGCACTGAGGCGGCAACCTGGCGACATCCTTTGGATCATGAGCTGAGGGGTCTTTGCTTGGAGATATCCAGGGCACAGCTCGCAAGGGTGGGGAAGGTTGCACAGAGTGCTTGCATCCCAAGGAAGAAAGGAGAAACCAAGAGGAAGAAGGCTAAACAAGTGCAGCAGGCCTCATGCTTCCTTCAACAATGGAATATCTGGGAGAAAAAAAGAGAGAGAGAAGTCAGCATAAGGCAACATAGTGTTTCTAACAGATAGCAGCAATGTACATGTAAGAGCCTTAAATTTTAACTCAACACAGACACTCAATATGGTGAAAAAGCACCATTCTTGCTCTCTCTCAACATACAAACATCCAGTATCTGTCTCCAATAGCCTGGTTTTTCTGAAGGTTTGAAATCAAGAGTTTCTTATTACTTGATCTACCAATCATGGAAAGGACTTATTTCAATATAACCTGCATCTGACTAGGAGCAATGTAGGCTCCCATGTAGCCATGGGGGTCAGACTGCCAGAGCTAAAGCCTTAGAAGCACAGATTGCCAAGCACAGACAGACCCTGCAGCTCTGTGGGAGTGGCATCCAATTTCCGCAGTCTGAGAATCTTTTGGATGAGCTTCTGGCACCCTCTCCCACATCCTTCCCTGCTCGGCTAGTCACATATTTGAGGTTTTAGTCTCATATCTGGGAATTCTGGTAGATATTTCCCTCTAGGGTAATTTGGTTATTACTGCTGAGGAAGCTTCTGATTTATATTACTGAAGATTATAAAGCTCATAAGGAGAAAAGACACTGAACACGTAGGGGGTGCACATGCACCCCCCTGACAGAAGCGCTGCCGATGCTGCCGGCAGTGCTTGTGCGCGGTCACCACTTGCCACCCCACCCTTGCCACCGACACCACCAGCGGGCAGTCCCTGATTGCCACTGGCCGTTGCTGCCAGCAGCATCTGTGGGTGGTTGCTGACCGCCAGTTGTCACTCACCCCCCCCCCACACCACTGCAGCTACCTGAGGGAGCTCCTCACTCATGGCTGCCTGCAGGCAGTTGCCATGCCCCCCCACAGCCTCTGGGGGCACACATCATTCATGGGAAAAGGAAAGGTCATATTTTCTGCTATCTACAAGTCAGTTACACTCCTTGCCCTACTTTCTTCCTGACTTAGCAGGACCCTCTTCAGAAGCCAACCACTGCTTGGTCTCCACATAGGCTCTGTTCTTGTATGGCCTTTCCCTTCACAGAGTCCAGAGAACTCAGCAGGGTGGCTTCTGTTTATAGGGACTTCTACTGGGCTGAGGTGCAAGACAATCAAAGGTCACTCCTCTGAAGACTTGCACCTGGTCTTGGGCTGTGGTTTATAAGTGCTTTGTGCACTAAGCTAGCCAGCACCTTGATAAAACTGGTAACAGTGCCCAGAATGGAGGCACTCCAGAAAATGGCCTTAATGCTGGCCAGTGTGGGATACTGTGGAAGAAAATGAAACTGTCAGTGCATTCACACTATGCAATGCTGCAACAGGAAGACAAGGAGACTCCTTTCAAACAACTCAGCTGATGACCAGTTTGGGTCCTGAGGTATAACAAAAGCATGTGGTCCTTGTAATTTTTATCCTAGCTAGCTGCCCTGCCAAGGCTAGTCCTGTCCACATAAGCCTCCAGTTCAAAAGTCCTATGTCAGACCACGTACCATCTGTATATTCCTCAGAGGAAGTAAGTGATAAAAGGCTTTGTATGTCACTGTTTTCTGAGTCTTGAGCCTCTTGGTGTACAGGCCTGCTGCTAGCCACACCAGCTACCCAGGAAGAGGTGGTGGCCTGGTGCACAAGAACAGTCTCAGAGCGCTGAGAGCCACTGGCTTCATACAGTCCAGAGCGTCCTGGGGCCTCATCCTCCCCTGTGAAGCTATTATGAGCTCCCTGGTCCTGCAGCTGGTGATGCTGCTGTTGCATCTCTCTTGCTCCACTCTGCCCAGCTCCCTCTGACAGCACGATCTGCACCCGTGAATCCGAGGGTGGAATGCAGTTCCCTGCGCTGCCATAGACTGCTTCTTCATAGGACGGCAAAGCCACTTGGACACCATCCACCATGATAGAAACCTGGTCCCCAGACACACCTTGGTCACGTCTTTAAAGAGAAAAAATAAAGTTAGAGTGAATATGGAGACCGACAGCCCACTGGGTCTGCAAGAGACCCCCAGCAAGCCAATAAGCCACAAAGTCAATGCTCCCAATCCCCATCATTCAGGATGTATGTATGTCAAATTTTACCAAAATCTCCTTAAATGTAGTCATTTCCTTGCAGCTCTCTTGTGCCCTGCCATGCAAATGACCACAGCTCAGATTTTCTTTCCTTACGATGACTGGGACAGCTGGAGAGAGCGCCTGGATCTCTGCTCTCAGGTGAGGCACCTCTAATTGGTAACTACATTTGCAGCTGCACAGGGAGCAGCAGTAATTAGTTCAGGAGATAACTCTGTGCCCACCTGGAGGAAGGGTGGCACAGTGTAGTGCAGACCTCTGGTGGCAACAGCAGCTAAAGCATGGGACCATCAGCACTTCCATACGCAAGGGAGAAGGGAAACATGTATTTTGTGATTTCCCCCCAGCAGGGATAAGCTGGAGAAGTGAACATTCACCAGAAGCTCTTGAACAGCTATGTTCCTCTCCCTGTCCAATTTTATCCATTGGATGATACCAGCACAAGCTACAATGATAGTAGTGATTGAGGGATCTCACCAGCAAACCAGGCCAGGAAGAGACAACGAACTGCAAAGCACAACAGATGTACACACCCTGGGCTCTTCCCTTGGTAATATATCCAAGGCTGAGAAAGGAAAAAGGTTGAAGGACGGGATGGTCAGGAATAGGAATAGCTTGTTTTGTTTAAAATACAGGAGAGCAGAAATCTCATGGGATAGCTCAGCAGACAAGCCATGGCATTATCATGCCTGTTGCACCACAGGGTTAGGGAGACTTCCAGGAGGAGCAGGGCTGCACAAGCTCCAGGCAAGCTACCTCACAAAACCTAAGCACTACACTCCTGAGACCATGTGTCACCCACTCGTTCTGCAGCTGCCAAGCTTTCTCCACCCACAATACCGCCTTTGCTTCATCACTGTGCTGGACAGCAGAAACCAATAGGTGTAAGGGGAAAAAAAATCATCACAGCTCCAGGACTTTGGAAGTTTGTTAAGCCTTAGGTTTCAAACGTAACAGAGAACACTCCTCTTCTTCTCTAGAGAGAATATGGCACAATGCAGTTAATTGGGAGTTCTGGTCCAGCTTCTAATAGACCACACTCATCTGACAAAACCCACCATCTCTACCTTAGTGCTAACTGTTACCTTTGCTGTCAATCTGCAATAGAGAGACCAAAGCCCAAAGGGACTGGAAACTAAGCCATGTCCAACTGGGCTTTTGGCCGATACGCACTCCTGGAAGGAAAGCTGATACTAATATGGCCAAAGCTGGATCCGTTTGCAGATGAAAAGAACACAGTCCCCCTCTGGATCAATCTGATGGCAACTTCTGCTAACATTAGGTTTAATCAGGGAAGAGGAGTTACAGCACTAAAAAACAGCCCCTGCACAGCAGGATGTGCAGCCATTTTTTGGAAGTCAGCAACTCCAATAAGCAGCGATGGAGAGAAGCAGAAATGGGTGAAAGAAGTGAAAAACCCCAGAGCAGAAAAAGAAGAACAAGGAGCTAAGTAAAAGTACAAATCCAGTACCTTCCTGGACTGCTCCTGGAAGTAAACAGGCCTCCATGGCAATCACTCCCCAAAGCTGAAAGCAGCCCCCAACCTTAGCTCACCTGCTGTGATGGAAGGACTTCAGCTTTGGCTGCAGCAAAACAAACAACACCACGAGGAGAAGGATCAGAGCTACTGAACTCGCTGTGGAGGCCACGATGGACAAGGTGGGCACCCCAATTGTTGGGGGAGAATCTTTGTCTAAAAAACCAAAAGCAACAGAAATTAAATCATTTATGTCCTGAAAAAGCAACTGTACAAATAAAGTGCATGCTAGGCTCCTCTGAAAAGACTTGGGACAGCTCAGGGAAAAGACAAACAAAAGTGAATAGAGGCTGGAGGGGCTGATTTAAGAGATCTATGCACAGCTTGGATAAGGGACAACTAAAAAAGGAACCCAGTATCATCAGAGGGAGAAGAATTGTTCAGCTTCATAAAAGGGAATTTAGGCTGAACAACAGGAAGGCTTCCTGATAATGGGATTTCTTAGCCCATGGAATGGGCTCCCATGGAAGAGATGGAAATCACCTTTCTTGGCATATTTAAAACATAAACAAGTTGCTAGTAACCAGACAGTAAAAACCATCCTATGAACTAGAGAGCAGGACCGAGATGCCCCAGCCAGTCCTTCCCTTCTCTGCTTTATATATCTGCCTGGGCACTGCTGCTATTCCCTGCACTGTGTATGTGACAAACAGCGATTTCTGTACAAACCTTTTTGCCAGTGATCTTTAGTTCCTATGTGCTTCATATACAGGGCATTCTCATGCAACTCACTCCAGTATAGCACAACTTCCAGTTTGCTAGAATTCAATGTATTCCTTAGGGCCACAACCAAGAGTCTCCTCAAAACGCAGCCAGGTGGCCTGAAAACCCATCCTTGCATTCACTTCATGCTTTAGCGTTGGCCTGCTGGGTGGCTACTTTTGTCCTCGCATAGCTAAAATGTTTCAGTGGCAGGTAGAAGCTTCAGAAAAGCACACCATACTACATTCTGCTTTTGTACCCTAAAGGGAGATTGAACTAGGCTTTGCGTTTTGGGAGATTATTTTTCAGGAGGGGTGGAGGGGTGAAAAACTTACCAGGAGGGGTAAGCAGACATCAGTGTTAATTTTTGAGCACCAGTATGCAATGCTGTAAAAGCTGCTAACTTTCCCAAGTGCAGCTTCCAGGAACTGGAGCATAGCTATTAGTCAACTGGTGAGACTGTTAAAGCCCAGTATTAATGTGGGATAGCCAAGGGGCTAGCATCAGTAATACAGTGTGTTTTTTTCCCCACTGCCAGGTCTGCCAGGCCTTCATTTAATTTGTTTGGGGCAGGTGGGATTTTACTCATACTTTAAGTAATTGTTAGAGCTGCTCTTTTTCTAAGTTTGATTTCCTCACTCTGAAGATGCCACTAAATCATTAAAACTCATCTGCGCTTCCAACTATACACAGCTGATGACAATGGATGTCCAGTAACTACTGCAGCTGAATGAATTTGCACTAATCTTGAATATAAGTAGGGCTGAGGGCAAGCAGCGTTCACCACTGCCCAGCAGCACTGCTCATCAACCATGGGCATTGGAGGTATACCCCAAGTCTTAACAGCATTTTGAGGCCCTATATTTCTGGCCAGCCCAGGTCATGTTCCATCCCACAAGACACTACTGAAGAGCTGCATGATCACTACTTGTCACTTGCTACTTCCAGTCCTAATGTGGGGAAAACGCTACCTTTTGGGGATGGTATCCAAGACAGGCTAACTGTTGTGGTACAGCTTTCTGGCAAGGATTGGGGATAGAAGAGGAACTGTGATGACCAACAGAAATTTTAATGAATTCAAAGAGCCCATGCAGGGTCTATCTGGTGCCAGGTGAATTTCATTTTCTCTTGCACAGGAGCTCAGAGCAAAGCTTGTCAGAACAGACTTAGCAGGGACACTGGGCAAACTACTGCTCTGGGACAGCATGGGAGCAATCACAGAACTGGGGTGAACTCCAAGAAGGGCAAGGGAAAGTGGTGGTGGAAGTGGGGAGGAGGGAGAGGCGAGGGAAGGTGGGGAGAGGGGGGAGCTCTTCTACTCCTTTCCAAACAAGTTACTTTGCTTTTTTCTTCACTAATCTTAGAGGTCTATAAACTGGCAGGATGACTCAACAGAAAGACTAGAGGGGCAGGAGGGATTCTTGTTTTTCACAGGTTTTTATCCTGTACACTTTTTTTAACCAGAAAACCTATGGACAATGAAATGCAGCAGCATGATAAACATTTTCCTCCAGAGTGCTTTACTTTCCAGTCATGGGAGAGGAATTCCTGTGCAGCTGGGGAGACCCCACAGAACAAAGCTGTGGATTTCCATTTGGAAAGAAACAAAACAGAAAACATTTGTCAGCAACACCCATTACTGCCAGGCCAAAGACAGAACAAGCATCACAGAGCCCTGTGCTGAAGCAGGTCACAAACTGCCAATCAGGTAAACATGGCCTTATACAAGCAAGTGTCAAAGTGTTGACCAAGGAGGACAGCCATACACTAGGTCAAGGGTATGCCCATTTGGAGGGATGTGCTACTGCTGGAAGGATGGCACAGATTCTGTTAGAGGCAAAGTAGCAGCATCTAAACTGTATGCTATTGAGCAACTTACTTCTGCCCCCTTCTCGTATAATAACCTGCTGAGATAACAGGTTGCAGCATAAATCTCCCCTTGAGTCAGGGTGGAGAAGAGCATCCTAAAGCACAGATCCACAGGACACATTTCTGTGTCAAGGGCTAGGGGTTGGACTCCAACCAGGAAGAAGTAGTAAGAGAAATCTAGGGGGCTGGGACTGCCACTTATATTTACTCAGTACCCAGTGCAATGGGGCCTGGCCCAAATGCAGTTTTCTGGGCACTAACTTGGTATAAACTTTAGAATTGCCATCAGAGAAGATAGTCAAATGGCAACTAGGACATTCAGCACCTCAGATGGTGGAACACATTACTTACCTTCGCTGAACCTACAGCTAACTTCCATGGTTGGATTCCACTCTCCATTCTCACAGGTCAGGAAGTTGTAACCTCCCTTCAGCATGTAGCCTTCATCACAGAAATACTCTATGACACTGTCAGTTATCAGAGGCTCTCTGCACGGAGTTGGGTGGCATTTGTAGCCTCCATTCTCAGGCTCTGGTGGCCGGGGACAAACTAAAGGGAAAAGAAGAAAGGTGAGATGCCATCATTAAAATGCCACAGAAGACCTCAGTTATGCAACTGTTGCAAAGTATTCTCAGAAACATGATGCACACTTCCACTACCAACTTCTGCAGAACACTTATTACTAGAAATGGGAAGAAAAGTGGCAACATGAGGACAAAAGGTTTGCTTCATAGGTTATAGTCCCATTTGTTGAATGCCAGCTTTTATTCCATTATTATTATTTAGTTACTGAGTGGAGGAAGTTTAAAAATATAAATCACCCAGGCTACTCAATTTAAATATTTCCTTGATCATGCAGCCACTGGACAGGAGAGGGCAAACATTTCCAGTGACAAGACCCAATATCCTTGCCTTCGTATTTTTTAAAGATACATCATCAGATGGGGAAAAAAAAATCACTTTTGAATATAAACATTTCTTATCTACATTGTTATCATCAACTTCAACGAAGATTGAAAGGGCTGAAAGTCTTGCTTATATTTCCCTACATGCTCTTTACATTTCCCCCATCCCAGCCAATGGAAATAGACTACTCAACTTCATTTGTTTCTAGACAATGTCTCTGTCAGAGGCACTGGGTCACAAAGTTTGGTTTGCAAAATATTAATGAGCAGCATTAGCTTCTACCGAACACTTTATAGACACATTGTGTAGGATTACTCCTGTAGAGAGTTTTTTTTTTCCTTTCCTTTTTTAAAAGGAGCAGCAAATTTCAGGCCAAATGTGACCTGCAGATGAGGCCTTACAAAAAAACAAAAAAATTGTTTATTTCCACACATTTCTGCCAGTACGTAGTAAATAACCATTCCATGAACAAAACAAAATCCCAGAGAACAAGGAAGTTGGTGTAAAAAACAGGATCTTCATTACTTCTGATTTTGTCTATGCTGGCAGCTCACTGTTATTGCTGGCAGGACAGAGCCTTTGATATGCACTGCATCAGCCTACCTTTCCCATGGAACCTCTTCTGCCTCTTCTAAAGGTGGGTGTTCCTCCTCCAAGAATTTGGACAGTGCAAACAGCAAAACGAATATGCTTATATTATTCAAACACTGAATGTGTTTAGAGGTCAAGAGAACAGGCCTTATGAGGAGATGCTCAGAGGCATGGGACTCTTTAGCCTGGAGATGCAAAGGCTCAGGGGTGACTTGGTGGCAGCCTATAAGGGGTGTGCATCAGGAACTGGGAGAACATCTGTTCACCAGGGCACCCCAAAGGAAGACAAGGTCTAACAGTCACGAACTGCTGGAAGACTGTTTTAGACTGGATATAAAGAAAAACTTCTTTACTGTCTGAGTCTCCAGAGTCTGGAATAGACTCCCCCAGAAGTGGTGCAAGCACCTACTCTGGATACTTTTCAGAAATACTTGGATGCTTATCTTGCTGGGGTGATCTGACCACAGCTGACTTCCTGCCCCATGGGCAGGGGGCTAGACCCGATGATCTCGCAAGGTCCCTTCCAGCCCTAATGTCTATGAAATGCTGCAAAGAAGAATCCAACACTTCCCCCCTTTAAATCACTCCAGTATAACTGCAGGAAGAAAAAAGCGTATCCATATTTCAGAAGGAGAGACATTGGGGTCTGAATAAATTCACATTTTTCTAGTTAACCACCATGTGGTAATCCATGCCTTCTCCTTACCTCTGGAACATGCCTCTTTTCTGCAGCACTTGGTAGCAGTCAGAAAAAAAGAGTGATGGTACTACAGTTTCACCCCAAATCCCAGGAGAACCAGGTACCTCTGCTAAAATGATCATCAGCAACAGTGAGAATTTAAGGTAGGTACTAATTATTTCAGAGTGAAGACCTGGAGCTAGACTGTTCTTACTGGTGGCAGATGACAGAATAAGGAGCAATGGACTCAAATTGAAGCAAGGGAAGTTTAGGTTAGATGAGGGAAAAACTCACAAGGATGGTAGTAAAGAACTGGAACAGGCTGCCTAGAGAGACTATAAACTCTCTGTCCTAGCGGTTTTTAAGACCTGGGTAGAAAAAGCCTTGGCTGGGATGATGTGTCAGGGATTGTCTTGCTTTGAGCAGGGGGTTGGACTAGATAACCTCCTGAGGTCCCTTCCAACCCTAATTTTCTTTGATTCCAGATTGAGAAGGGGCGGGGGGGGAAGGAAGAGGGAGTTTACATCTCAGAGAACAAAAGTCAACACCAAATCCTAACAGTCCAAAGCTGAAGCATGTGGAAACTTCACAGAGAAGTTATGAAGTACAGAGGGAGAAGAAACTCTCACCTTGTGTACCCCCACTGTCAAACAGCCTGCTCCACAGACACTACTATAAAGCCTTAGCATTGAGGAGGAGGCTGAACACCACTTGCATGCCCACTATGTCTGGAGCACTTTAGAGGAAGGTTGGTTGACCAGCTGCTCTTCTGTATGGTTTTTTCCGAGTTCTTCCAGATGGCGTCTCCCATGCAGAAGTTTGTGCCTCCCTATGTGGTACATTTCTAGCACCTCTGCTGCATCTTCACCCAGATGGGGAAGGGAAGGTTTAAACATCTAGCTCAGAGTTATCATGGCATTGGGCCTAGTCCATAAACTGAGCACCAGGGTATTATGCTCAGTCACCTACTGAACAAGTCCCTCTAGAATAGTATGTTTTATTTCAGGAAAATCTGAATGGGTGCTATTATAGAACATACTGTGGAGAACCAGCCAGCTTGGTCCCATTCCTGAGGGCAGGGATGTGGGATTCTCATACAGCTTTTCTATTGATTCTCACCCCTCACTAGATTAACGGCCAACAGTGTTTCTTCTGTTCTCCGCTCTTTTGCACTACACACACACAAGCCTTTTAGATCAGAAGCCCTCTTGGGCGGTGTTCCCCTTCTTTGTTTGCTTCACTCTGCTGTAAAGGGCCACCTACGCTGGTGATTCTCTGCAAGTTACATGCACAAAAAGCTATCCTTAAAAAAAATAAAAAAATAAAAAAAATTAGGTTACAGCCAAGCACTTAAAAGCTTGGCAAGATCAGAATTCAAGTTCTCCCTGTGCAACCTTAAATTGGCTTCCTTTTGCGAAAACTTTGGAATGCAGCCTTCAATTACATGCATGCATACTGTTTTTCCCTCCTCCACAGATCCCTGCCTCATTCAGTGCCCAGGATGGATGATACACAAGAGAATGAGGCAGCTGCTCGGTGTTTTCACCCACCTCACAAGGTAGGCGGCCCCTGCCTTATTTTCTTCAGGCCAGACAGTGATGATGGAATAAGTCATTCCCTCATGTTTCTCCTGGTGCATTTGTCATGGACACATTTGAGAAAGTCACAAGTATTACTGACATCACCTCCACTGGCAGTAAAGGGTGTTTTCATCTCTTTTTATAGTTGGGGAAACAGAGACACACCTGACACTAAACAGTGATTTAGCGCTGACCCCTTCCAATCCGGTGTTGCCCCATTCAGGACTGCACCAGGGGGCTGTCAACCAAGCCCTATCATGTGCCTGGCATGCTGCAATGGCATGGCTACCCTGCCACATGTTCAATATATATTGAACATGTGGCATGGTGCCAGATGCAGAGTTGGGGGAGGGGGGGAAGGGGTATGGCATGTGGCTGGATGCGGAGTGGCAGCAACGCAGAGCGTTGGGTGGCCGTGGCCGTGTGCAAGCTTCCCCCCCTTGCTCCTGGGAGGCAGCGGCAGAACCAGTGGCACAGGGAGGTGGGTAGCTCCAACCCCCCCGGGTCATTCTTGACCCAGCACTGGCTGGAGCCATGCCCCACAAGAGCATTAAGGATGGACAGACACAGGCAAACTGACTAAGCCCTTTTATTTATTTATATTATTAAAAAAATAGATAGATATTGATATAATGCCTACAACTTGTATTCTCTTGAATACTCTGAACAGTAGAAATGAGATCAGGTTCTGGAAGATTTACTGGTCCTTACCAGCCAGAGGCAGGACAAGTGTTGCTACTCAGAGATAGGAAGCATGTCCCTCTCTACTGTTCCCCCACCCAGGGATCTAATGAAGTGCCATCCCTGGGGTAACAAGTTCCACCTCAGCCTCTGGTTAGCAGGCTACTGATCCCTTTGAGTGTACTATCCACACTTCACCTGCTCTACACTCTACTTGGCAAGAGAAGTATTTGGGTCTTCTCCCCTGTCCACAGCTTCTCATACAAGAAGTGGGACACATCTCCATTACTTCACCCTTCCATTATCCTCCATGGCTGTTTTGAGAATGGACCTGAGGGCAGATAAAGAGCCAGGGGGTCTCTGCTAATTTACTCCTCAATCTCGGCCTTTCTTCTGGGTCCCTTACTTTTCCTGAATATAAACTAGAGTGGGTCTCTGGTGCTCAGACTGCTCATGCAGAACTGCAAGATACAACCCGACCATCCAAAACAGCACTACTGCTGCCCTTCAGGTTCTGATGAGCAGGGAATTGGCCTGAGAAATTTCCCTTTTTGTCTGCTTGTCCAAGGTATGAGCAGAAGGAAAGGCACCAACATGCCTGTCTGCAGACTCTGAGAGACAACACGGCATGGATTTATACCAGAACACATTGGGAAGTGTCTTGTGAGAGACAGGATTCTTTTCAAGTTGAAAGTCCACAGAAATTGATGGCTTAAAGCCCCTACACTCACCAAGGAAAATCTCCCCACTCAGCACTAAGAAGCCACTTGTGTACACAACAACAAAGGGAACCAGAAAAGTGATACAGAAAGAAAGAATGCATGCAATGCCATTTTCAACATGGAAAGCTTTTATTATATAAATCTTCCCAGCTGGCAGACAGGAAACTCATTGTCCAGGCCAGCTCCTTTTCTCACGAGAACTTCATCCTCCTGCCCCCAAAAGGGTTCGGCTAGTCAGCTGTTTGCTGTCCTGGGAAAAGAAATATTCCTGCCAATACTGCTTTAAAGGGTTCCTCCAGTCAAAACCTCTTGCTCCACCACTGCCTGGGA